CTTTCTCCTTTCTCTCCTACTTCCCTTCTCTCCCACAGGCGGAGTTCACAGCTCTATACGGGGACGGGGCCCTGGAGGAGGCGCGGCGTCTGCGGGAGGGGAACTGGGCCTCAGTGAGAACAGTGCTGACAGGGGCCGTGGCACTGGGGGCCCTGGTAACTGTAGGGGCCTTTTTTGCTAGCAAATGAGAAAGTCCAGGACCGGGTTGGGGTAGGTGTGGCTGGGGGACAGGAGAGCAGGAACAGAACAGAGAAATGCCCTTGAAAGAAATGGGGTGAATGGATGGGCATGGCACGGGGATGGGATGGGGCAGGGTAGCGTATGAGAGGGCTGAGTGTGCCAGGCAGGTGGTTGGAAGAGTGGGCTGGAGACCTTGGGGAGTGTATTTGGAAAGTTAGGGGGCCAGGAGATGGAGTCATTCCAGGGTTGGGGGGAGGTGGGAGGGATTATTCCTGTAGGTATAGGTACAGGAAACTGCAACTGGAGCTTGGTTTGCAGCCCTGAGGAAGATGGACTTGTATAAGGGGTTGGCATCTCCTTTGGATGAGCGAGATTTGGGGAAAACACAGAAGGCACATCCCTTTGAATGGACGCTTGGTTTCTCAGGTGATAGGGAGAGGTGGCTGTGACAACGGGCTGCTTGGACATGCGTCTGCATGTGCGCGCGTGCTCATGTGCATGCTGGGCTGCTTGTCTAATCTGGTGGTGATGGGATTCTTCAAGGAGAAAATATTCCCTCTTGTAGTGGCAAGAACTAGGGGCAATTCTCTGCCTCCCCTAACCCCCTTCTCCCTCCTTCCTTTGTCTTGTCGCCTCAAGGCTGAGGGAGAAACACTGTATCTAGTTGAGGGCTTTGGGCACTTCTCTACAGAAAGTCATTAGCAGGCCTTTGGAGAGAAGAGCAGTTCTGTAGCTGGCCTTGTTCCTTCATGGTCCCCCTTCCTTGTGCATCATGCACTTGCTGCTGCCTCCTGGGCTCTGACAGAAAGGCAGGGCCGCGGAGCCTGCAGTGGGTAGAGGCTTTGGTAGCTGAGCCTGCCTGCTGCCCTCCTTTCCCACTGGGGCACACTGGTGCCTAAAAGTGTTCCCTATCCCCGGGACCTTTTGTACCCAAACTTAAAGTCTAAATTGGGGCTCTAATTAATTTTCCTTTTGAGTGTGTGGACGTAAATCCTGATCTAGAATACAGTCTGGGTCCTGCACTGTGTCTGAGACGGTTGATGCCTCGAGAGGAACATTCCAGCTCTGAACCCCATGGATGTGAGGGTGATGGGTACTCTGTGACTGGCCTGTTGCGTGTGGTAGGCTTTGGTGCTGCTTTATCAAGGGCCAGGTATATGGGTTCTAGAGTACCTACCATGATATGGAAGCATTTGTATTTTCTTTGAAGCCACGCTGTTTGCATGGGTGTTACTTGTCTGTACCTCAGAGTCTGAGGATGTTAACTTTAGAGCTCACAGTCCTCCAGAACAGATTCAGAATTATGGCTTTTTCTTTTGAGAAAGAAATGATTTCACTCCAGTTGCATGCCCTGAGCCAGACCTCACTGCTGCACTTTCCAAGGTGCTAAAATTGCTGCTCTCCAATGCCGACTTCTTCAGACACAGTGCTCTAGAACCCTGCCCTTGATCCTGAGCACTGATCAGCTTAGCTAGACCATGGTTGACTCTTCTTGGAGATTTTCACTTGGTCCCAGAAGGTGGCAACATAGTTGTACTCACTAGAATGTGGGACCAAAATTGGCCTCAGGTGTTTAGCCCACACTTTTGCTTTTGAGAGAGGGCTGCACTTTTTAATGGTATTTATAGGGGAGGTGGTAGGCTGCATGTGCCACTTGGTCTGTTTGTGAGTATGCCGATACCAGAAACTCAGAGCTGCTCTGTGGCAGGCAGTTGGGGTGGGGGGGGTCTCTGACTTGCTCAGGACAAACCAGGCCAGTGGTTTTCAAACTGCTTGGCAGAGCCCCAAAGTTTCCTAGGGGTTGCCTCAGGAGTCCTTGGGGGAGATGAAGGTGGAGAAGCTGAGCAGGCTGGGCTACTTGCCCTCAAACAGAACAGCTCCCCTTGTAGCTGTCTTATATATCGGGGTTCAGGGTAAGATTTTATTTGCATTAAGGGGTTTGCTGCTGAAGAAAAGTTGGAAAACCACTGCTAGATCATCAGCTCCAAATTGGAGCCTGTGCTCCCCCACGTTTGGGGCAGACTCATCACCCTACCCTCTACCACAGGACTCCTATCCCTGTTAGCTCTTCTGGGGGGCCTTTAGCAAACAGGGGCGGCAGGGCCCATGGTTACCAAAATGCCCTGCTCTGAGGCCTTCACACTTGTGTGGAAGCAGAGGCTGTTTTCTGAAAGTGTAAGAAGCGTGGTCTGGATTCCCAGAAGCATAGCTTGGATGGGACCACAGTGGGCTGTTTTGAACTATCTTGCCCTTCTTAGATTGAGGGGCAATGGAAACCCCAGAGACTCTTCTGTCAGGGAAAAGTAGAGACTCTCTTCTAGAGCCATATAGTTCCTTGGGATTAGCTCTTGGCCAGGAAGGCTGAGTATGGCTCCCAATTTTTAAATCTATTTCATTTTTTTTAAATAAGGGAAATAAATCTAATTGCCATTTTTCAGAGTTTAAATAGGTGGAGAGGGTGTTTCTTGCTCTCCAGAGCCCAAAGGGACAAATAGGAACTTGCTTAGGCCAAGGAAGGAGCAGAAGTAGGGCAACTGGGTCCTGCGATTATTAATCCCATTCCCCACTTATCCTAGGGCATACACTATTTTACTTTTTTAAATCATAAAACAGTGGGAGAACAGATTTGGTTAGTTTAGAAGAAAAGAAAAAGCTCTATAAATATAAATATATATTCCTGTATTTTTATTTAATAATTTATAAATACCAAGTTCATTTGACTTTTATTTTTGTGTAATATGTAATGGTCGTATTAAAAAATAAATAAATAAAGCCCAGAAGTTTAATGAGAAGGACTGAGCAGGGTTTGTGACTTCTACACTGTATACCCTGGGGTTAGGACATTTCTTGATCCAGTCATCTCTTCGTGAATTGTTAAGGGCAAGAATTAGAGTAATTGATACTTTGGAAAGCATTGAGATAAAAAATTTTTTTAAAGAAAATCAGAGTTGTTCCCCTATCCCCCCACCCTGGCCAAATGCCCAAAGCCAAGAACTCCATCTGTGCCAGCCCAAGCCTTAAGAGGATGTGTGTATATGGTACTTTGGGATGGCCATAAACAAAAACCAAAAGAAAACTAACCAAAAATCTTTGCATGATGGTAATCAAGTCCCCAGTTGTGGTTCAGCCTCTAAACAAGAAGTGTGTGATAATGAGCATTTCACTTTCCCCAATACCCTGCTGCCTACTTCAGACTTAAAATAAGTCTGGCGATGATGGAGCCCCTGCTTCCTTTCCTGGTCCCCTGAGACATTTGGTTTCAGCCATTCTAAGGCAAACTGTTAAGTTGAATGGAAACTACAGGAGTTATTCAGATCATCCCTCTGTACTTCTAGGACCACGTCAAAATCATGTCTGACAGAAATAGTGATCCTAATTTTAAATAACAAGCAGGAATTTCTAGTCTTTCTATAATCTAGTACAATAAAATGGTATTTGAGTTTGTGTTAAATTGTAGAAATATACTGCTTAGAGGAATCCAGTGTTGCATTTCCATTCTCTATGCAAGCCATATTAAAATCAGAGAATGGCTTGGTGAACATGGCACAAGAGGAAATGGAACTAGATGTTCTTAATAGTTAATATCATTAGGCTATGATAGCTAGTGCATTTATCTGCACTGCAGTGTGATTGATTTAATGATTGATTGAGTTATACTTGCCTAGGTCCACAAAGCATTTGCAACATCTTACTAGAACACAAAAAAGACAATACAATAGGAAAATATAGACTTTTAAAGTAGGGGGTGAAGGAAAAGTTGAAAACATTACAATAAAATGAAAGCAAAGGGAAAATAAACGCACAGAAAAGCATTCTATAAGCAGTATTAAAGCTAGGCTATGAATTCATTTCTGAGCTTGGCAGCTAAAGCAAATTGGAAAATGATGAGATTTACATTCCTCCTAGGATTTATAAAGGCCCATCAGTTACCAAAATGAGCAAAAGTTTTGTGGCTCTTCTGAGAAGACATTGAGAGATATAGAGGACACCACCCTTTATAACACCTGACAGCAAATACGATGTTGAGTTTTTACACCACTGTTTCTTATAGAAACACCAAATGTGGATTCGGTAGGTCTTAAGCTTATCACAATTTAGCCTAAATATGCTCTATGGTGCTATAGTTTAATATAGGGCTAAATTTCAGACTGTGTAAACAGATGGATTGTTTATCCTTCAGACGGTTTTCTGTGAATGTTATTTCTCCAAATGACACTTTTGATAAAAGTTAAGCAACATTTAGTTAAAATTTTTAGTAAATGGATGAACCGTAGATATTCTGTGTTTTTACTTAAGGGCAGATCTTTTGAAAACTTTAAAAGCTGCCTTAAATGTGGATACAGGCGAGATATAAATAAATATTTTTTAAATCAACCAGAAAACATAATATAATGGAATGCTATATAGTTCTTCATTCAATCATTCATACATTCATGCAGTAAACAGTCAAGCATCTTCTATGTACTAAGCACAGCTCTAGGCACTGAGATAGAGAAGTGAACAAACAGGCACAAATTTCTGTCTTCATGTTACATTCTAGTAAGAGAAACAAACAAAAACAATATATTTTACAATATTTATTAACATAACATTTCATGTTAGGTGACATGCTATGAAGAAAAATAATTCAGTAAGGTGGGCTTGGAAGGTGTATGGATTTCAATGTTAAATAGAGTGGTAGGGTAGGCCTCTTTTCTAAGGTAACTTTTGAGTAAAGTCATAAAAAATGAAATTGGGTGGAAAAATCTTTTTATTGATATGGAAAGATGTTTCTGTATCTTATTTGGTAAAAAAATAGATTAGAAAATAATATATACAGTATGATTCCATTAAATAAATAAAATACATACTTGTGTGTTCATGTACACCTCTATATGTATTGAAAATTTCAGGAGTGGTATATGCCAGAATATCATTAGCGATCTCTGGGTGGTGGATTTTATGGGTGGTTTTATTTTGTTCTTTTTGCTGTATTTTCTGATTTTTGGATAAGGAACATGTATTGCTGGTGCAGTAAATTAAAACAAGATTTTCGGGTACCAAGTTTTTAAAAAGTTAACCAAGCAGAATGGAAATTAAGCTGCCCAATAAAGGCTCCTTCTCATTTAAATGGCCACCCCACTTCCATACAAGGGCAGACCTAGGGAGTTCAGGTAGGTGGGGCCAGACTTTAATTAGAAAAGAATTGGAGTCTGCTCTAAAATAGAGGTAAGTAAATGATCAAGGCTCCAAGGTTCTATACCAACACTGTCCAATAGAAATATAATGCAAGCCACATACATAGTTTTACATTTTCCAGTAGTGTCATTAAAAAAGCAAAAAGAAACAGGTAAAACAAATTTTAATTTTTTATTTAACCCAGTACATAAAACTGATCATTTCAATCTGTAATTAATATTAAATGATTATTTTGCAGTCTCTTTTTCATACTAAGCCCTTGAAATTTGGTGTATAATTGACACTTCCAGCATATCTCAGTTTGGACTACTCATGTTTTAAATGCTCAGTAGTGATATGTGACTAGTGGCTACCATATTAAACAACGTAGTTCTAGATTATAGAACATGATAATTATTGTAATTATAATTATTGTAACTGGTAAAAATTTCAAAGCAGGAATTACAAATAGGCAAGTATTTATGTTTAGTGAGAAAACTTTTCCCTTCTGGGCAGCACTGGAGATACCCTCATCCTTTTTTATTGATTTAATTCTTTTATCAACTCCACTGACCATTCCCTTCTTTTAACACATTTTTCCTTTTAGGACACATCACTGAGTTTTAGTTTCCTCAAAACTCCATGGCCCTCTATTAATAATTACTGAAGGAAAATTATACTCATAATGGATAAATCTCACATCATTACATACTGATTTTTAAAAAATTCATTCTCGAAGAGCAATGTATCTCTTGATGTTCTCCATGAATCAGTAACAGGTAAAATATGAACTCACATTATTATACAGAAGATCATTCATTCATTTAGCATTTATTGAACACAGAGATATGCAATGGAAATACAAATATTAGTAAGGTAGTGTCCATGCCTTTTACAGTTTAGGTTCTAATAAGGAAGTACCTTACTTTACAAGCCACCATTCAAATATTTTTTTAAATGTGTGTGTTTGTAAAAGTAATCTTATGCTTATTAGAGTAAGTTTGGAAGTTGGAGTGTTTTTTTTTATTTTAAATAAAAATATATGGAAAAATTGTAGAACATAGAATATTATAAAGATGATGATCAATCATAATCCTACTATCCAGAGAGAACCACTATTAACATTTTGGCATAGTTCTTTCCAGTCTTTCATCTGTGCTTATAGTTTATGATCATACTGTATATATAATTTTGTATACTTCAGTTCTGCTTACCATTATATCGCAAACATTTTTCCTTGTCATTAAAAATGTTTTGAAGGCATAATAACTATATAAAATTACGTTTATATTGTATAAAAATTTTCCCTAAGTGTCCACTTGGACGTTCAAGTTGTTTATATTTTTTCACTTTGATGAACATTTTCATTATCAAATATTTTTCTAGTTTTCAAATTATTTCTTTTGAGTATAGTATAAGAACAATTACCGAGTTAAGAATTTCAACATTTTAAAAAGCTTTTGGTACATATTGCCAAATAAAAGATTGTACTGGTTCTTGTTCCTTTTTCCCCCTAGTGCCCAAGATGTTTTTTTTTTAAATAAGATATACGTAATTTTAATCACACTTTACATACAATTTTACATTCTACTTCTTTAGACTAACAAAAATTATTTTTGAATGTTATCACACACTATGTGTAAACCTTTAATAGGTGCGTAATAATCTTCGAATGTAATTATAGTTTGCCTAAACATTGTCTCTCTAGGAACTTAGTTTTTTTCTAATTTCAGCAGCGTACATAATGTAATCTTTGTATTAAAGCAGACCTTACAATAATTTTGATTGAGATTTGAAAGCTGGCTTTGAATTCCTGCTAATTCCTAATTATTTCCATGACTTGGGCAAGTTATTTCACTCTTCCCTCGTCCTTAAAAAAGGTTATGGTTTTGGAAATAACTTCATAGAGTTGTTGTGAGAATTCATTGAGATAATATAATAAGGAGCCTAGGATAATGCCTGTTAACAAAATCGGATGCTCAACAAAATTAGAGTTCAAGGCATAAAAAGAAAATCACATTTCCCTTAATTGGCTTTCTTAGATTAAATTAAGTGCCAGTAAAACATCCAGATCTTGATTAGGTTACGATCAGTATAAAAGATTTTTTCTTCCAGTGAACTCAATCTTTTAGAGCTTGTCTTCGGTGCTCAACTTAGTTTTCCCAGACCACTGACGCTGAGATAGCTGATGAAGTAATTTTCAGTGAAATTTTAAGCAACTGTGACTCTGCTCCAAGTTTCCCTGTTCCTGAGGTAAGGCTTTGTGAGAAAAAGTGAGAGTGAGGAAGCGTGGGGTATACTGCGAAGTTCTTTGCTTTTAGGTTTGTTAATAAGGCTTTCCTCTAGTCCCAGTTCCCCCTGCTCCAGCCAGGAGCATCTTGTTGGGATTGTTTAACCATTTGGTTGGGCTCATGTGAATCTGGCTCTCAAACCATACCTTGGTCTGGCTACAAATATCCCTCTTGCAGAATTAGCACCGCCGTTACTTCCTTTTTAATAAATGCGTAGGATCACTACTAAAATATGGCAAATCTGCATTCCAGGGGGTAGGTCTCTTTGGTATCTTAGAGTGCAACTGTGTGGTGGGAACCTAACCGGAGAAATTCCTCTGAGGTCTGAAGGAGGGTTTGGGGTTCGGAAAAGTTACGAAGATGAAGGGTGGTACTCAGGTCTCCAATCAGTGCATCCTTTGGTCAACAAACATTATTTGGGCACATACTATATGCTAGGCATATTACCCCACGATATGCAACAATAAATAGCCAGCCTCTCCAAGTTCCCACAACCTACTTAGGAAACGCAGCGCAGAATGATTAAGCGCACAGTGAAGCACAAAATGACTAAGTGCTTGTCATGAAAGAGGAGGGGAGGCTAGTGGAAGGCTTCTCAAGAGGTGATGCTGGGTTTTGCAGTGGTCTTGTTGAAGAGGGACTGCATGTAAAGGCACCGACTTGGATGCAGCTACACCCACTGGAACGAGGAGTGTGGAAATAACATTTGCGAAGTAGCCTAGTCCTGAGGCTTCAAAGGCCACGGTAAGGAGTTCTAAGACTACTTGGACAGTAAAGGGGAGCCAGCTCAGTCTGGGAACCAGATGGAGGGGTGACACTAATTGGAGGGCTGTAGCAAACAGTACAAATAAGAGACCCATTAGGGGGCCTGTAGCAAACAGTACAAATAAGAGAAACTGGGGCATACAGAGGGCTTGGAAAATATGCCTGTGCAGGAAGACAGGACGGACAGGACTCATGGCCAGTAGTTCTGTATTGAAGATTCCCCTGGTTTGGGAGACCTAGTGGATGGTGGTGCCAATAACCTGTATGAGTAAAGTAAGCTCCTTCCTGGGGCTTTCCATTCAGAACCCTCCACTTCCAGCAACATCCCATCTGCTGGTGCTTTCCGAGTGGGGAGACCAGTTTCCAGAAACCGCCGCAGTGTTTCCGGCCTATGACTTCCAACGGCTCACTAATTGGCAACCAGTAGTATTAAGATGGCGGCCCCCTAAAGACCAGTCATGTGACCTCGGGTTTCCTTGCGGTAAGCCCGGCACTCCGTTCGGGGTCAAGGTTCACTTGTCACAAAACGGGTGTCAGCCCTTCAAATATCGCGAGCCAATCGACATGTGAGACTGGGCCACTGCGGCGAGTCGAGCGGAAGATTGGTTCTTTCCACTCGCCAAGCCAGCGACCAATCACGGAGCGTCATATATTTCGCGGACCCGCCGGTAGGCGGGAGAAGCAAGAGTGTCGTCACAGCGTGGCAGTATTGTTACCTAAGGACTAGAGAGGAGGTGGGACGTGTGCTGATTGACAGACCGATTTCCCCTACAGGGATTTGAGAATTTGGCGCAATACCCCCGCCCTGGAGGTGGGGTCTTATTTGATTGCCAAGTAATATTCCCCAATGGAGTCCTAGCTCGTGGTGACGGGCAGGCTACTTGACTAATGAGTCCTTGGCGGGGCCGGCGCAGCTCTCCAATCGCTGGGCGGCGGGCCCCAGTCTGAGCGGCGA